GTAACTGAATGTAACACTGCAAAATTAAAATGAAAGCTGGAAAGAAAAAAGAAAAAAGAAAAAAGAAATAGCATCAGGCAAATTTTGCTTTATCTTACCTTATTCCATTTTGGGTCATTGACAAAGGTTTTAACCTGTGCTTTTTCTGTGGGCACACAGTACTGACACCATTTATTTATTTTTTAATTGTTAAATGTTTGGAACTTCCTATAGCAACTTCATGATGAGTCTTCAGGATGAGTGCTGGCACGTTTGTTTCTTTTTTAAAAACAAAAACAAAAACAGGGGTTTTAACAAAGATCACTTTGTCCCTAATATTCTGCCCAAAGGGGAAAAAGTGGGTTTTTAAAATTTTTCTGCCAGAATGCCAGACAATAGCTGAAATGCAAGCCAGAGACCTCCGCACAACAGTACAAGAGAAGCTTAAGAGACTGGAAAGGACAAAAGCGACAAATAAAGATTGTCTGCCATGTTAATATAAAGTACACATAAACGAAATGCCAACATCCTTCATTGTATAGTTGCAATGATAATTTTTAAATGTGACCCCCCCCCCCCCAGAGAACTCCCAGAGGAACACAATGCCTCACATCTACCTGTCTTTGCTTCTGGCTGGGCTCTGTGCTTTTGCCCACCGTCACCATACTCTTGACCACAAGGAGGACCATGACCATTCTCCTCTTGCTGAAGGTGACAGAGATTTGCCTTCTCTGAAGATAGACCAATTCTACTACGACCTTCCTTCGGAGACTGGTGAGAAGAACATTTTCTCTTTTTTTATAATATTTTTATTCATGTTCAAATACAAATTTATACGACCATTATCAGAATTTATCACATAATCTTCTTTTTTTTTTTACTTCCCTCAGTTTCTCTGCCAATCTTCCGTTTTATTTATTTGTTTACACACTCCGGTTTCTTAACAAATGTATGTTTTAACATCTTTTTCAATTCATTATAAATCATTTCCCAGAAGCCTTTCACTTTCTTACATTCCCACCACATATGATAAAATGTCCCTTCTTTTTCTTTACACCTCCAACACTTATTACATGTTTTATACATTTTTGCAAGTTTTACTGGTGTACTATACCATCTATATACCATTTTCATAACATTTTCCTTTAACGCAGTATATGCCGTAAATCTTAATCTTTCATTCCATAGTTTTATCCAATCATCCAATTGTATGTTGTTTAGTCGTTTAGTCGTGTCCGACTCTTCGTGACCCCATGGACCAGAGCACGCCAGGCACTTCTGTCTTCCACTGCCTCCCGCAGTTTGGTCAGACTCATGTTTGTAGTTTCGAGAACACAGTCCAACCATCTCGTCCTCTGCCGTCCCCTTCTCCTTGTGCCCTCCATCTTTCCCAACATCAGGGTCTTTTCCAGGGAGTCTTCTCTTCTCATGAGGTGGCCAAAGTACTGGAGCCTCAGCTTGACGATCTGTCCTTCGAGTGAGCACTCAGGGCTGATTTCCTTAAGAATGGATCGGTTTGATCTTCTTGCAGTCCGTGGGACTCTCAAGAGTCTCCTCCAGCACCATAATTCAAAAGCATCAATTCTTCGGCGATCAGCCTTCTTTATGGTCCAGCTCTCACTTCCATACATCACTACTGGGAAAACCATGGCTTTAACTATACGGACCTTTGTTGGCAAGGTGATGTCTCTGCTTTTTACAATACTGTCTAGGTTTGCCATCGCCTTTCTCCCAAGGAGCAGGCGTCTTTTAATTTCGTGACTGCTGTCACCATCTGCAGTGATCATGGAGCCCAGGAAGGTAAAATCTCTCACTGCTTCCATTTCTTCCCCTTCTATTTGCCAGGAGGTGATGGGACCAGTGGCCATGATCTTCGTTTTTTTAATGTTGAGCTTCAGACCATATTTTGCGCTCTCCTCTTTCACCCTCATTAAAAGGTTCTTTAATTCCTCCCCACTTTCTGCATATCAAGGTTGTGTCATCTGCATATCTGAGGTTGTTGATATTTCTTCCGGCAATCTTAATTCCAGCTTGGGATTCATCCAGCCCAGCCTTTCGCATGATGAATTCTGCATATAAGTTAAATAAGCAGGAGACAATATACAGCCTTGCTGTACTCCTTTCCCAATTTTGAACCAATCAGTTGTTCCATATCCAGTTCTTACTGTAGCTTCTTGTCCCACATAGAGATTTCTCAGGAGACAGATGAGGTGATCAGGCACTCCCATTTCTTTAAGAACTTGTCATAGTTTGCTGTGGATGACACAGTCAAAGGCTTTTGCATAGTCAATGAAGCAGAAGTTGATGTCTTTCTGGAACTCTCTAGCTTTCTCCATAATCCAGCGCATGTTTGCAATTTGGTCTCTGGTTCCTCTGCCCCTTCGAAATCCAGCTTGCATTTCTGGGAGTTCTCGGTCCACATACTGCTTAAGCCTGCCTTGTAGAATTTTAAGCATAACCTTGCTAGCGTGTGAAATGAGTGCAATTGTGCGGTAGTTGGAGCATTCTTTGGCACTGCCCTTCTTTGGAATTGGGATGTAGACTGATCTTCTCCAATCCTCTGGCCACTGCTGAGTTTTCCAAACTTGCTGGCATACTGAGTGTAGCTCCTTAACAGCATCATTGTTTAAAATTTTAAATAGTTCAGCTGGAATACCATCACTTCCACTGGCCTTGTTATTTGCAGTGCTTTCTAAGGCCCATTTGACTTCACTCTCCAGGATGTCTGGCTCATCAACCGCACTACCTGGGGTGTACAAACCATCCATATCTTTCTGGTATAATTCCTCTGTGTATTCTTGCCACCTCTTCCTGATGTCTTCTGCTTCTGTTAGGTCCTTTCCACTTTTGTCTTTTATTATGGTAATCTTTGTACGAAATGTTCCTTTCATATCTCCAATTTTCTTGAACAGATCTCTGGTTTTTCCCATTCTATTGTTTTCCTCTATTTCTTTGCATTGCTCGTTTAAGAAGGCCTTCTTGTCTCTCCTTGCTATTTTTGGAAATCTGCATTCAATGTCCTGTATCTTTCACTATCTCCCTCACATTTTGTTTGCCTTCTCTCCCCCGCTATTTGTAAGGCCTCGTTGGACAGCCACTTTGCTTTCTTGCATTTCCTTTTCGTTGGGATGGTTTTAGTTGCTGCCTCCTGTATAATGTTACGAGCCTCCATCCACAGTTCTTCAGGCACTCTGTCCACCAAATCTAAATCCTTAAACCTGTTCCTCACTTCCACTGTGTATTCATAAGGGATTTGACTTAGACTGTATCTTACAGGCCCCGTGGTTTTTCCTACTTTCTTCAGTTTAAGCTTGAATTTTGCTATAAGAAGCTGATGTTCTGAGCCACAGTCAGCTCCAGGTCTTGTTTTTGCTGACTGTATAGAGCTTCTCCATCTTTGGCTGCAGAGAATATAATCAATCTGATTTCGATGCTGCCCAACTGGTGATGTCCATGTGTAGAGAAGTCTCTTGTGTTGTTGGAAATGAGTGTTTGTGATGACCAGCTTGTTCTCTTGGCAAAACTCTATTAGCCTATGCCCTGCTACGTTTTGAACTCCAAGGCCAAACTTGCCAGTTGTTCCTTTTATCTCTTGACTCCCTACTTTAGCATTCCAATCCCCTATAATGAGAAGAATATCCTTCTTTGGTGTCATTTCTATAAGGTGTTGCAAGTCTTCATAGAACTGGTCAATTTCAGTTTCTTCAGCACCAGTAGTTGGTGCATAAACTTTGATTACTGTGATGTTAAAAGGTCTGCCTTGGATTCGTATTGAGATCATTCTATCATTTTTGAGATTGCATCCCAGTACAGCTTTCGCCACTCTTTTGTTGACTATGAGGGCCACTCCATTTCTTTTATGGGATTCTTACCCACAGTAGTAGATATGATGGTCATCCGAACTGAATTCACCCATTCCCGTCCATTTTAGTTCACTGATGCCCAGGATGTCAATATTTATTCTTGCCATCTCATTTTTTACCACATCCAACTTACCCAGGTTCATGGTTCTTACATTCCAGGTTCCTATGCAATATTTTTCTTTACAGCATTGGACTTTCCTTCTGCTTCCAGGCATATCCGCAACTGAGCATCCTTTTGGCTTTGGCCCAGCCACTTCATCAGCTCTGAATCTACTTGTACTTGTCCTCCGCTCTTCCCCAGTAGCATGTTGGACGCCTTCCGACCTGAGGGGCTCATCTTCCAGCGTCATAACTTTAATATGCTTGTTGCCTTTGTCCATGGAGTTTTCTTGGCAGGGATACTGGAGTGGCTTGCCGGTTCCTGCTCCAGGTGGATCACATTTGGTCAAAACTCTCCACTATGACCTGTCCATCTTGGGTGGCCCTGCACGGCATAGCTCATAGCTTCTCTGAGTTATTCAAGCCCCTTCACCACGGCAAGGCAGTGATCCATGAAGGGGATCCAATTGTATATTATATCCAAAATCCCTGGCCCAATGTATCATCACCGATTTAACTTCTTCATCTTTTGTATACCATTCCAGCAACAATTTATACATTTTTGATAAAATTTTATAGTCGTTACTTAGTATTTCTGTTTGAAATTTTGAATCCTTTTCCACATAACCGCACTCTTTACAATCCTTTTTAAACATTTCATTAACCTGATAATAATGCAACCAATCATATACATACTCTTGAGAAGAACATTTTCTTTCACCCTCTGAACATTTCCACTGCCTTGGCCCTAGTGTCACTGGGAGCTGAACAACTATCTTGTGTCAGCTTTTGTCAGGACTTGGCTTTAATGATATTAAGTAATTGGGAACTAAATTAAGAACAGAGCAGTAAAGGCAGGTATCTCAGCACAGTAAGAAGCCACAAAAACAGGAGCTTTTATTAAAAGCTCTGAGTATGACAATTAATATTTTGAAGAACTAAATGACATGTATACTGTTATTGGTCTTTCCATAAGCCAATTGGGAAAAACCTTTCAATTCTCTGAATACAAGAAAAGGAGACTTCTATGTGGATGAGGAAACAACGGTGAAAGTCCCTATGATGAACAACGTCAGCTGGTTTGAGACTTACCATGATAAGATCCTGTCCTGCAAGGTTGTGAAGCTCCCTTACAAGAGCAATGTTTCAGCATTATTTATTCTTCCTCACCAAGGAAAAATGAAGCAGTTGGAAAATGCTCTTAGCAAAGACGTTTTGTTAAAATGGAGGAATTCAACAAAATCACAGTAAGTGGGCATGCTATAGTGGAAAGAGTGTAGTACATATTTGTAGGTGTAAATATATTGTTATGAGTTTGAGGGGTAGTGATAGGCTGTGTAATGACCAAGTCCCTTGTAATTCCAGAACAGGATCAATTGAGCAGACATCGCTGAGACAGGCGTGCAAACACGTTAGGAATTTGGGCTTCGGAGAGCACATCTTTGATTAGAATTCTGTCCTGCCATATGACACCCAAAATTCTCCTGGCACATTTTTTTTTCAAAGCAATACCTCACTAGCCTCTGGTTCCTCTTTCAACAGGAGAATAGATCAAGCAGACCTCTCTGAAATTCCTGGGAAGCGTGAGGTGAAGATTTCCGAGGTAGGCTTCTCAAAATTCAGCAGGTTGATCTATATTTTCTTGCATCCTCCATTTTCCACAGAGGTACCCTCTTGTCTGAATTATGTTGAACTGAACATAATTTGGGGTACTTGAACAACAATCCCATCTCTCATGGAGAGGAGGAGCCAAAAATATTTGCTATTCCAGCTAGAATGATTAAGAGGCACCAAGAACCCATCTCTCCCTCTGCTATAGCCTAATGGCATGAGTGGTGCTTGATGACAGTTGAGGGGGGAGCCCCAATGGAGCTGGTCTCCCAACAGAACTGATGGAGAGACTCTTAAGCCCCAGCTCTCCCTCTTCCCTTGGCCATGCTATCTGGGGCTGATGGGATCCAAAAACATCAGGAGGGCCACAGTTTCCCCACCTCTGACACAGAATTTTCAAGAGCAGATGATCCAGTACCAGTTGCTTTGCAAAGACTGCAGTTAGCATTGGAGAAGGAGGAGAAATCTGATATATTTGCAAGCTTTGTGCAGACAGTATCGTTTATCACATACTTGCTTAAGTCTGACCTGCTCAGACAGTGTAAATTTTTTTTAGGTTATATACGATATCTTTATTGTCATTGTGCCGCACAGAACAATGAAATTGAAAATCTACATAAAACATTCTAAAACCCCTAAAAACTCTGAAACCCCATTTTAAAATACAATATACTATAGTGCTGATGAACTATATGCTGTGTGTATTACTGTAGCATAATTTTAAAGTATATTACTAAATATGTGTTTTATCCAGTTATATAAACTTTTGTATTTATCTGTTTATGTGCTGGCTACTTTTGGAAACCTACTGTTTATAATATTATAGGAGTAATAGGGTAATATTATATGTGGTATATATGAAAGAAGTGTTCGTATTTTTAGCATAATGAGCCTGGTATGGGGATCTTGCTTCTCATCAACAGTAAGGGAGAGAGACAAGAACTAGGAAAAAATAATTATGGAGAAGATTGACATCAAGATTTTAAGAAAATTCCTTCAGTTCCTTGAGGCTGACTGATACACAAATATGATGCTTAGAACTGGTTAGAGGAACCAGATCAATAGGTAATCAGAGTAAGAAACGACCACATGATGTTGTTTCTTAAGACATTCAGTGGATTTGTTTGTTTTGAAGGCCTAGATTTTCTCATGATAAAACCCTGAGTCAGACACAATCTTGCACTAATTTTTGTTGTATTTCTTTTTATTTCTTTGCAGGCTATTCACAGAGTTTATTTAAATGTCTACGAGAAAGGCACTGAACCTTCAGCTACTGCTGCCATTGCAATTGTTCCTAGATTCCTTTCTTTTGTATTCAATCGCCCGTTTCTGTCGGTGATTGTTAACGAGGAAATTGGTACAGTCAGCTTCCTGGGAAAAGTCAAAAATATTACTGCGGCATGATTGCTCAACTTGTGTTGCAGCACAGAAAACATGGAGTATCCAATATGTAGCATGATTGATAAGATGCTTTTAGGTATCAGAGTGATAACTGTGACATGTTCCCAAATGGAACAAATAAAACACTGATTGAGTTGTCTGCAAAATCACTTGGCATTTTTCTTTCTTTTCTCACAATCTTAAAAAATGTGGTTTTTATTTTAAGTGTGCTCTCTAGCATTCACTCCATGATCATTTGGGGGGTGTAGACCCCCGTGCCATTTGAAAGATCAGGTTAACAGTATTTTATTATTAACTCTCATGCAGGTGTAGTATCCACAAGTAGCCAACAGTTGCAAGGAGAAGGTCAGGTAGCTCAAAAACTCAGAATGAGCTGAGGCTTTCAGGAGGGGTTACAAATAATAAAATAGGTTTCTTTGTCTATGCCCAAAGGAAGAGGAAGAATAAGCAAGTAATAGGTCCTCAGTGTGGAGAACACAGAGAAATTATATTCGGTGTTAGTGTGAAAGCAGAACTGCTCAACAAATACTTGGCCTCTGTCTTCACTGAAAAGAAAAGCAGTGCCCAACCTGGTTATAACAGAAAAAAATAATAATCCATAGAGGGAGCTGCAGTCTAAGACAGGGAAAAAAGATGGTAATGGAACTTCAAATGAATTCAAATCTGCATAGCCTGATGAGCTGTATCCATTCCAGCTCAGGTTTGGGAGAACCACTTCAGAAATATATTTATGGAAAATCCAAACCTCCCTTCCAGCTTCCAGGATGATGACTGGGCAGAATTGTCACTGCTCCCTCATTGGAGGCCGGTTACTGTGGAGGAAGTGCATACATTAATTGGGAATCTGAAGAGCGGAAAGGCTCCGGGGAAAGACTTTATCCCAGCAGAATTGATTACATCAAACCAGCACTGGTGGGCTCCGCTTCTGGCAGCACTTTTTACGGTAGTAAATAACTCGGGTAAAGTACCATTTAGCTGGAAACATGCTATAGTAGTCCCAATCATTAAGAGAGGCCACCCAAATGTACCCTCCAATTATAGGCCAATTAGCCTGCTTTCAAGAATTGGGAAGCTGTATGCCCGATTCCTCAGTAGGAAATGAACAACTTTTCTAAACGAACATAATATAGTATCTGAAACCCAGGCAGCCTTTCATGAGAACCATTCAACATCAGACCACTGTCTAATGCTCTCCTTCCTAGCCGAGAAGTATACCAGGCCTCTACAGGGTAAACTCTTCGTGGCCTCCATGGATCTGAAATCAGCGTTTGACTCCATCCCCAGATCTCAGCTATGGACCAAATTAAATCTGATTTTGCAGGACAAACGACTCTTCATTCTTATAAAAGCCCTGTAGAATGGAACCAAACTGCAGGTCCGATGCGGTCGGCAGGGACAGTTATCAAACAGTATCGAGATGACTAGGGGGGTGAGACAGAGATGCATTTTGGCCCCCACATTGTTTTGTCTATTCTTAAATGACCTAGAAGATAGCTCAATGGACCCAGATGTACACCTTCCAAAACTAGGAATGAGAAGGACCCCCTTGTTGTTATATGCGGATGACGCGGCCATCATCTCATGTTCCAGACCGGCTTTGAATTATCTGCTGAGGAAATTTTCTGATTACTGTTCTGGAAATGGTTTATCCATTAATTATGAAAAATCTAAAATTTCATTTTCGAAAGAAGCTTCTCCCAGTCTAAATGGGTGCTGAATGGCCATAACCTTGAACAGATCAAATACTTCAGTTTTCTAGGTCTCACATTCCATCATACAGGGTCTCAGAAGCACCACTGGCAAACCTCCCTTCAAAAGGCGGAGATCACAAAGCTAGCCATACTCAGTTTCTTTTTCACAAAGGGAGGCAAATATGTTCCAGCAGCCTTAAGGGTTTTCAACGCAAAACCCGTTTCCCAACTCCTGTACGCTGCAAATGTCTGGCATAATGGGGACCTGCCAAAACTAGATGGCTTTCAGGCAAAATTTCTACGATCTCTGCTGCAGGTACCCAACTGTGTCCCCCACTCCACACTTCTGTTAGAAGCTGGTGAATGCCCAATTTCAACTAAAGTGTGGTGGGCTGCCCTAAAACATTGGTTCAGGGACTTCCGGGTCAGCGCCATCGGTGAATGGCGGAGTTCCTCCGACCGGAGGAACGGGCTCCATGGAAACTGGATCTTCCCGCCGTGGCGAAGGCGGGGGCCCGTTAGAAATCCCAGGCAGAGGAAGCCTGGGAACGTGGGGTTCGTCAGAGCACCAAAAGCGCCTCCCCTATTCACGAGGAAACCCATTTTCGGGGCTCCGGAGTGAAGCGGGTTGAGCAGCGCGGTGCTGCGAACTGATTGCTATTTCCATGGAGGGAAGCCGCGCAGCCATCGCCGGAGAGCGCTGACTTTTTCCTGATGACATTTGGACTCTAAATCAAGTACCCGTGAGTAAAAACGGAGAATCGGACTAAGAAACTTTCAAATTCATGAAATTAGGCACGAAGCGGGAAGGTGTAAACAGGAAGTCCACCTCCCGTCCTTGTATACAGCTTGTAGCAAAGATCTTGCAACCTAATAGCCTGAAAAGTTCTTTTAAAGTTGGAAATTTCCTGCACCCATAACCAACAAAACCCCCTTGGAAGCAGGAGAAGGGGGGGGGGTATTTGACAGTTTAATCCTGCAGGAAGTGAGAAAAGGAATGTAAGTTTCCACCGTCCCAAACCTGGGGACGGGGTGTCGGAACAGAAACTGCTTGAGACGTCCATTGATTGAAAGTGGAGTACTTTTGACAGATAGTTAAAAAGAAAAAAAGAAACAAATTAACTTCAATGCTACCTTCTGCATTTTTGCTCTTTAAAGAAACAAAGTATTTGAAATTGAAAGGACCTGAAATTGAAACTAATTTCCTTTGTTGGATACTTAAAAAAAATAAATAAAAAAAATAAAAAATAATAAAAAATAATAATAATAATAAATGGATACAAATAGAAATTGTGTCCCCTAGAGGGAGCCTGTCAATTTGCGGTCGCAGCTTGCATATGTGAGATTTGGATCGTGGGAACAGCCGTTTGACCTTGTTCTTGAACAGAAATGTATTGGCAGGAAGGTCTGGTGTCTGCCCTTGGCAGGGCTAATGTTTTGCTGGAGCAGCTGCACGAGAAAATGAGTCTGATGCATGAAAAACTGGATTTTATGAGTGCTGTGGCCAGCGAATATGATTTAACAGGGAATAAGGATAAAGAAGCTACAGAGCGATCAACTCAGGAACCTGGCTTGACAAGGCAAGTCCAAGGGCAGATGGAGAAGGAAGAGGCAGTAGCTATCTCTCACACAACACAAACGGAAAGACCCAAAGTTCCGCAGGAACAAAAGCTACTGCGTTGGAAGATTGATTTTGGAGAGTGCTGGGAAGTATTTGAAGTCAAGGAAGCTTTTAACTCCAGTGTGACTTTGAAACAGGTGAATAACTATCTTCTGGATACATACTTTTTGGACTATAAAGATGAAGATTGGGAGTGGGACTGGGGGGAAGGGGACAATTTAATGAAGGAAAATGGAAATTATCACTGGATGGAACCCTCCGGAGACCCACTCCCCCAGAAACCAACAATAGACAAAGAGCTGCGTAAGCACAAACAAGAACAAAAAAAATTGCAGAAGGGGCCTAGAAGAGATTTAAGGGCCTCGGACATCAGAACACCAGATTGATGGACTATGTAACGGACAGAAAGGACTGATATGACCGAAACCAGGAAGATGGGACGTTGGATGAAAATCATAGAAATTTTTATGTTAATTTTGGAATTAGTGTAATATCAATGAAATTTGAGGGAATATGCTGGAAAGGAACTAAATTGGCTTTAGTAGAAATGATTTTAAGGAGAAATGTATGACTGTGATGTGATTTCGAAATTTTAAGATTTTTAAGACAAGATAAGGTTAAAGATTAAGGCAAATTGAATAACAGATTATATTAAAAGAGGGAAAGGTTATGTTGATTAACAAATAAGATAGATTGTGAAGATTAATTATTTAAATTAAAATTGAGAAATATGGGAAGAATTTGCTGAAATAACGAATTAAACTAGAATACAAAAAGGGAGGTGTGAGGAGGTTCAAGAATCAAGCAAATGAAAAGTCGAAATCTGAGATTTGTATTTTCTTTTTTCTTTTTTTCTTACTCTATTTTTTCTTTTTTCTCTTTTGGGTTAGGGTTGGGGATTTTTTATGTATTGATGAAACTTTGAATAAATATCATTTAAAAATAAAAATAAAAATAAAACATTGGTTCAGGATTTCAGTGTTTGAACTAGGGAAGGGTTTGTACCAACACCTGACCAATGAGGAATTTGTCAGCAAATGGAAGAAAACCATGGCTAAAAAAGCCACCTCTGTTGGTCTGTCTCTCCCCCCCCCCCAACTGTATTACCTGGGTCATGAAGGCGCCCTAAAGACGTTAAAGCAAAGATTATGGGATAATGCACACAGTGACTTGTGATCTCGACCACACTCAGTCTGTGTTGGGATTTTAGTTTCCCACCAGCTGCGAGCAGCAGCTACATTGTTGACATCATGTGATGTCTCTGAGCGTGGGACAGGAAGTCTCAGCTTGTAACTGGAGAGTTACTTAGAGTTACTTTCACTTCTGAGTTGAAGTCTGAGTCGAGTCGTAGACTCTTGCTCTTTCTGCTCAGGAGAGTAGTCATGCTTGTAAGAGCTGTGTTGTACATTCTTAATAAAGTAGTTGAGAAGGCTACGGACTGTCTCTTTCTTCTGTGATGAGACGCCAGAAGAAGATTAGCGTGCTCCTCTCAGGAGGGAGGGGTCGCTCATAATCGGTCTCTCTGGACTGAGGGAGGAATCCAGCCAGAGATTGAACACCGGAGAGAAGCCCCGGTGCTTTGGGAAGTTGGCAGCCTTCCTGGGGGTGTTTCCCAACAGTCTGTAGTCTGCTGAAAGTAGGAGTACAATATGGGCATGTCTTTAAGTTAACATCTTACATTAAAAATCTGA